AGATATCATCTATACTTGTCCCATCTATGCCTCGTCCACACTGTGCCTCGACCCCACTGTGCTACCGTTTTTTTTATTTTAAACCACTAAAAATGGCAAAGATTTTTATTAATATTGAAATTTTCCTTTTTCAAAATTTGAATTATATGGGCATTAGTTGATTACAATTTTTTAGCTTCTATGCGAAGCTGAGAAGGTATTAATTTTACTATGATGTGTTTTTTTATTTTTTTTTTGTGTCTGTCACCACTTTTTCTCAGCTCTTACCGAACCAATTTTTTTCAATGATACGTCAAAAGATCACAAATCGTATCTAATCGAACACATAACCCTCAAAAATTGAAAGAATTCCCCTCTTTCCCGTAAATAGAAGAAATATCCAAAAATATTACACATTTAAAAATCGCTATCTTTCGAAATTTTTTCAATTTCTTTTACTTAAAACTGCCCTAACTTTTTCAATAATGATTATATCAATATAATTGTTTTTGTTATAGATGCATAGTGTCTTTACCTATCATTTAATATATTTTTTTTATAAATTTGACCCATTACCAGCCTACTGGGAGGGATTAAAAATGACAACTTTTTCACAAAAAATTAACATGTTTAACTTCACTTTTTAAAGTGTTCCAGAAATACTGATACTTTTATATATATTTTAAATTAAAGTTTATATAATATACTTTAATATGAAAAAAAAAAAATCGGACTTTATTTTGTTTCAATGATGAAAACAGTCATCAAATTTAATAAGAAAAATACGATTTTTGTAAAAAAAATTTTTTTTATATTTTTTACTTTATTATGCTATTGATTCATACATTTTCAAAAAATGTATGAATCAATATAATTTTTTTTTNAATTTAATAAGAAAAATACGATTTTTGTAAAAAAAATTTTTTTTATATTTTTTACTTTATTATGCTATTGATTCATACATTTTCAAAAAATGTATGAATCAATATAATTTTTTTTTATAGATGCATGATGTCTTTAACTACTATCTGGTATATTTTTTTTATAAATCTGACCCTTTATATGCCCACAGGGGGGATTTAAAATAAATCGTATTGTTTAGATTGATATGTTATCAGGAATTTATATAATTACTATTCACAGTTATTTATTAATTTATTAGAAAAGCACAAAATTTCGTTAAAATAATTTTTAACTATTTTTGTTTGTATATTGAAATAAATCATTTCAATAAAAATCATAGTTATAATTTCAATGTAATTCGTTGTGTTTAATTAGATTCTACAATTGGAATATTCAAATCTATATTGTAAGATATTATAATATTCAGAAATATTTTACTAGTTTCACTTATAATTTCATCAGTTCATGTGTTGTCGAATTTTATATTAACCTAAATTATTTTTTATATGTTAATACTCGTTTTTAATTAATTGGTAATTATATCAAAAATTAGAGGTGTTCGATGAAATCAAATTGCAAATTTGAAACCACCGCGAAAAATTATTCTAGAAATAAATATTTTTCTATCTGATGAGAATTCCTTGTAGTCTAATGTATTTATACAAAATTAACAAAGTATTAATTTTTGCATCAAGCCTTCATTTACATGTTTGTTGTCAAAGTAATGAAATATAAAATAACTTTATAATTACTATAATAAGTTATTGTCTATCAATTTTATACTAAATATAATTTCTATAATAATTATATACACACATATTATACTAATACAGATTTGTATCGAACCATTTCTAATGATAGTGATTTTTTTACTGTCAATTATCATCTATACTTGTTTTAACTATGCCACATCCATACTGTGCTGCGACATTACTATGCTACCGTTTTTTTATAGCTAATTAATTATGTACGTTACTATTTAACAATTACGTTGACACCCCTATATCATTCTATTTAAAATTAGGACATTAAACTATATAGGTACATAAATATCTTATATACATTTTTAATTTTATCTTTTATAATTATTTGTATTTATAAATTATTTTAATGATTCTCATAGACCAATAAATAACTTACCATTGATTTTTTTAGGAAGATTATCCCATTTCAAATTATATTATGAATTTAGGATTACGTATATTTAATAATGGATCTAGTCCTGCTGACATTAAATTAACATTTGGCGCAATAAGAAGTATTATAGTCAGAGAAAAAATGGATACTAGTTTTTTTCAATACTACATGGATGAGGAAACACATCCAAGTAATTAAGATTTAATTATTTTCATTTTGCATCTGTACAGGGTACAACAGATCTAATTGATAAATATAATAAAATATGATTTAATAATAATCTCGCTATTGTTTTTTTTTTTTTTTTTGTATAAAAGATATAATAAATGTGTTTTTACTTAACTCCTTCTGGTACCGCATTGGGGTTGAAATATGAAAATTGAGGTTAGTTTTTTTTTTTTTGAGTTTAACCTGATAAGTATTACACTTAACATTAAAATATATAGAAATTATTATTGCCTATAAAAGAGGTATTAACAAAATTTTTCATTTATCAATTATACTTTGAAAAAAATAATAAAATATAATAAATTTCCGAAATTCAATCAAAACTTTATATTTTTTTTTTATAAATAGGCGTTTCCTTTTTTTTTTTTTTGGTATATATTTTTGATTATTCAGCCCTTTATCTGTCTACAGGGGGGTTTAAAATAGTAACTTTTTAAAAAGTTTCAAATTATAAATAACACTTAGCATGTGATATGTTATAAGTAATATCAATCCTTGCTAATAATATTGATATGTTATAATCATTATAAATTATTATAATTATAATGTTCCTGTATAATTATTACATGTATATTATTAAATATACAAAAAAAGTTGTTTTGATTTTTATGTAACATGATAATATCAATTAAAGTGTGTAACAATATTTTTATAGGATAATTTTTAGGAAGTCATTTGAAGATTAAAAGAAATTTTAGAATTATTTTCAAATAATTTGATGAATATTGAGCAGAAAACTGTTTCAATTTCTGAATGAGTCATTTAGTTATAATGTAGTATATTTTATTAATGACTATGTTATTTTTAAAAAAATTTGTGTTCCTACGTGATTTATCTTAAAATTAGAAAAATAATTCTGAAATACGTTCTCTCTTAATAAGATGATAAAAAAATCAAAACTTGATTATTTTGTATTTTTAGTTTTGCTGAGATACCAAATAACATAAATAAAACTGTTTTTGTGCTCTATTATTATTTTTTGGTATTTCCTTAGGTATAGAGAGATCATTTGTATCTTCGATTTTTACTGCATCGCATAATTTAATGAAAATAGATGAAGGTATTCTTAAAAATCAGCTTTCAAACAATGGTACAAAAACAGATGGCCTCGCCAAAAAAGAATTTGCGAAACAAGTGTTTTTAAAGAGCAATTTGTTTCGTGGTATATTATCTGAAAAGGTCCTTGATAATATAATTGAAAAATGTAAAGTTGATAATGATAACATCAATTACAAAGGTATTTATCACTTCTTTAAAAGTATGAAATTATTTCTACATTATGCAACAATTACAAGGGTCAAAATTTCTCTTTTTTTCTATACCGTTAGATTATTTTTTTTTAAACTCGGTTATGACACATTTATATTAGCTTCGATGCGAAGCTGAGAAGGTATTGGTTTTACTAAGATGTGTTTTTTTTTTTTTTTGTGTGTGTCTGTTACCACTTTTTCTCAGCTCTCACCGAACGGATTTCTTNTTTTTTTTTTGTGTCTGTTACCACTTTTTCTCAGCTCTCACCGAACGGATTTCTTTCAATGATACGTCAAAAGATCACAAATCGTATCTAGTCGAAGACATTACCCTCAAAAATTGAAAATNTCGTATCTAGTCGAAGACATTACCCTTAAAAATTGAAAAAAATTCCCTCGTTCCCCGTAAATGGGGGAAACCTCCAAAAAAATTACAAATTTAAAAATCGCTAATTTTCGAAATTTTTTCAACTTTTTTTAATTTAAAGTGCCATAACTTTTTTANCAATTTTTTTTACTTTAAAGTGCCATAACTTTTTTAAAAATGAACATATTAATATAATTCTTTTTTATATAGATGCATAATATTATTACCTTTCATTTGGTATATTTTTTTCATAAATTTAACCCTTAACCTGCCCACAAGGGGGGATTTAAAATGACAACTTTTTCACAAAAAATTAATTTTTTTAACTTAAATTTTGAAAATGTTCCGGAAGGTCTGACACTTTTATATATATCTTAAATTAAAGCTAATGTAATATGCTTTATCATGAAAAAAAAAAATTTCGGACTTTATCTTATCTTCATGGTGAAAATGGCTACCGAATGCTATTTTTGTGTGAAAATTTTCGATTTTGTATTTTCCATTTTTAACTTTATTATGCTATAACTTTTTGAAAAATGTATGGATCAATACAATTTTTTCATGAGAAGTAGTATTTATATACATCTTTCATTCGACATACTGTTTTTTTAAATCGGACCATTTCCCTAAATACAGGGGGGATTCAAAACATAAAAATGCATATAGAAAGTAGAACTTTTTCAACGTAACTTTTGAAAGTGTTCCGGAAGGTCTGACACTTTTATATATATCTTAAATTAAAGCTAATGTAATATACTTTATAATGGTAAAAAAAAATTTCGGACTTTATTTTATCTTCATGGTGAAAACAGACATTAAACTTAATAAAAAAAATACGATTTTTGTAAAAAAATTCTTTTTTATATTTTTAACTTTATAATGCTATAACTTTTTGAAAGATGTATGGATCAATATAATTCTTTTTTTTAAAGATGCATGATGTCTTTACCTATCATTTGGTATATTTTTTTTATAAATCTGACTTTTTACCTGCCTACAGGGGGGGATTCAAAATGACAACTTTTTCACAAAAAATTGACTTTTTCAACTTAAATTTTGAAAGTGTTCCGGAAAGTCTGACACTTTTATATATATATTAAATTAAAGCTAATGTAATCTACTTTATTATGTAAAAAAAAAATTTCGGACTTTATTTTGTCTTCACGGTGAAAATGGCTACCAAATGCTATTATTGTGTGAAAATTCTCAATTTTATTTTTTACATTTTTAACTTTATAATGCTATAACTTATTGAAAAGTGTATTGATCAATATAATTTTTTTATGGGAAATACTATTTTTTAATAATCCCTTTTTCATTCGACATACTTTATCTTAATCAGGATATTAATAAGGAACTAGCAGTTTATGAAGCTTTTGGAATAATCCACCAATTTTTTAAAATTAAACACTATCTAAAGATTTGCATCGAAGCGTTTTTTATGATAGTGATTTTAATCACTGTCAGATATCATTATACTTGATCCGTCTATGCCACGTCACTACTGTGCCGCGACCATCCTGTGCTGGGTTTTTTATAATTAAAATTACTTAAATTATATTAATTAAATGTTATTAGTTATTTAAATAGACATTTATTTAATGTTTGTGTTATAAATAAGTACAATAAGTAGAGTGACTTCATCAATGAATGATCAATTAAGAGTTTTTCATTGGATAAAGCTCTTAATTACTTTTTATTTTAATTCTACATTAATATAGTTAATAAATTAGTTAGTTTGTTCTCTGAAAAATTATAATGTAAAATTATTCATAATAAATTTAGATAAAATTTTTAATTAATTATTTATTGTTTGAATTTTCCAGTGAATGAACAATTAATGTTATCGTATCAAAAATTGTGACAACTTGTCAGAACTTACTTTAGATATTTTTTGTTATAAAAATTACTAACTACAACTTGTTACAACCCCATTAGAAAAAAGTTAGGTAAAAAATTGGAGGTATTCGTTCACTTATAATGTTCATTAATTGGTGATGTTACTCTATACAATATATTTATTTAATTTTGGACACTGTGTGATAAAATACGATTGACTTTCTCAAATAAACTATTTCGTTTTTTTTGATCATCATATTAGAATTTCATATGGTGACAGGATTTAAGTAACTTTTATTGTTCGCATTGGAAATATCATTAATTTGTCTAAGAATTATAAAAAATATGAATCATTGTCATTATATAATGTAAGACACTCAGGGAGAAGACACTCATTTACTTGAAAACTATTGATAATTAAAAATGTTTGTAAGGGAAATAGTTGTTTAATTAAAAAAATTCTACAGTAATATGTAGTAAAATATTTTTTTCATCTATTCATGGTTAAAAAATCTAAACCTTAAATTTCTTTAATATGAAGTCATTTGTTTAATTTAATGATGCGATTGAAAAAAAAATTATGAAATTATTGTTTCTATGATGTTTTTTATATTATAAGCCGTTATTATGTTATTCTTTGCTAAAGTTTAACAATTTTTGACTAATTATCTACACCCAGAGAAAAACCTCGATCTATATAATAAATTCATTGTTCAATTTGATAAATATATCATTACTATTGAATCTATGATATATTTATCAATATGATAATTTTTTTTCTTGTCTTGAACAATAATTATTTATAAGAATAGTTATTTTGTTCGTATTAATAAAACATTATCATAAACACTTGATAAAATTTCTCTATCAAAATTGATTGAGGTTTTTCTTTGGGTGTATAGATAATTTGTTGTTTAACATTCAGTAATCATTATTTTTAATGATCTCATATAAATAAGTTTATATTGTTTGAACAATGTTATAAACAATATATTCACCGACTTATCCGGCTAACTAATATATGTAACTTTGGGAATATCAGCTACTTGTGTATGGCAAATAATTTTACAATTTTAATTATTTTCAGACATGATAAAAATCATTACCGACGGTAGTGTAGATAATGAATTATATTTAATTTGGAAAACAAAATCAACAGATGATACATTAACAACTTCTACACATAGTTAATAATAATATAGTTAAACTCATTAAAAATTGTGTCAATAATATAAATTATAGAAACTATTAAATTTATAAATAAGTATTTAAATTTATTTACATCAAATTATGTTTCATTTGTTATAGTGACAGATCTGTTCTATTTTGCCATTAGGCGATATGTATCACATTTATTCGAATATAATGACTTTAATATATTTCTTTGAGAAAAATTTGTAACTTTTTTGTTATTAAAATTTGTACAAAAATATATTATCACTTTTACAAAAATAAAAAATTTGTTACTTTTTATGTCATACTATTTCCATTAAAAGTTGTTTCTATACTATTATTTGTATATGATTCTTATATATAAAAGTATAATGAAAGTATAATGACTCGAAAAAAAAGTAATCTAATTTTTGAATATCCCATGTATTTATTTTAGTTTTTAAGCTTCGATCCGAAGCTGATAAAGTATTAGTTTTACTATGATGTGTTTTTTTAATTTTTTTTTGTGTCTGTTACCACTTTTTCTCAGCTCTCACCGAACTGACTCCTTTCAACGATACGTCAAAAGATCAAAATTCGTATCTAGTTGAAAAAATTACCCTCAAAAATTGGAAAAATATCCCTCGTTCCACGTAAATGGAAGAAATCTCCAAAAAAAATACAAATTTAAAAATCGCTAATTTTCGAAATTTTTTTAATTTTTTTTACTAAAAACTGCCGTAACTTTTTCAAAAATGAACATATCAATATAATTTTTTTTTCTAGATGCTTGATATTTTTGTCTATCATTTGGTACGTATTTTTTGTAAATCTGACACTTAACCTGCCCACAGGGAGAGATTTAAAATGACAACTTTTTTACAAAAAATTAACTTTTGAAAATGTTCCGGAAGGTCTGACACTTATATATATATATCTTAAATTAAATCTTATGTAATATACTTTAATTAAAAAAAAAAAAAATTTGACCTCTAGACTTGTCTTCACGGCGAAAATGGCTACCAAATGCTATTTTCGTGTGAAATTTCTCGATTTTATTTTTTATATTTTTAACTTTATAATGCTATAACTTATTGAAAAGTGTATGTATCAACGCAATTTTTTTATGAGAAATAATATTTTTTAATAATCCCTTTTTCATTCGACATACTTTATCTTAATTAGGATATTAATAATTAACTAGCAGATCATGTAGCTTTTGGAATAGTCCACCAATTTTTTAAAATTAAACACTATCTAAAGATTTGCATCGAAGCGTTTATTTTTGATAGTGATTTTAATCACTGTCAGATATCATTATACTTGATCCATCTATACCACGGCACCACTGTGCCGCGACCCCCCTGTGCCGGGTTTTTTTTTTACGTAACATCAGTTATAAATACATATCCCTGATACAAATTATGATGAATTATTAATTTTATTAAATCTTAAACGCGTAGTGGCTAAATTAAACGTAAACTAAATGAAGCTTGTTTTGTTTTTAATCTAATTAATAATAAAATCGATTGTCCTGAGTTTCTAGCTAAATTAGGGTTCCATGTTACTATTTTTAATTCACGCAACAATATTCTTTTTCATATTAATAATCATCGTCAAAACTATAGTTTCTTTGAACCTCTTAATCGTTTAGCTATAACATGTAATAATTTACCTAATTTTGATTTTTTTTATGACTCATTACCTAAATTAAAGTTTACTATGTATTATTATTCGCTTAAATAATGTACCTATTTATTATTTATTGTTATTACCTATCTTGTTAATATTTATATTATGTATTATTTATTATTTTTATTTATTGATGTATTTACTATAAGCTACACTTTTGCCTACAGGGCATCAAATAAATAATAAAAATAATTATTATTATATATAATAAGGAAATAGGAAATCATGTAGTTTTTGGAATAATCTACCAATTTTTTTAAAATTAAACACTATCTAAAGATTAGCATCGAAGCGTTTTTTATGATAGTGATTTTAATCACTGTCAGATATCATTATACTTCACCCAGCTATGCCACGTCACCACTGTGCCGCGACCCCATGTGCAGGGTTTTTATAAATAAATAAGAAGTAAAATTCTTTATGAATCATCATTTAATAAGGTTAAAATTAATTTTTTAAGATAGTAGATACATCCAGTAACTTAAACATTTGTAATTGGCTGACTTGTTTGTATCCATTATTGTTTATTATACAATTTATATATATTTATATACAACATAGCTATTTGAGCATAAAATTACTTCCGTTAAGATAAATTTATATTAAAATATAAATTCATTTTATTAAATAATGTTAAAAAGAAAATAAATATTAAAATAAGAAAATACTTGAAAGTATATGAAAGTATACGTATCAACAAAAAAAACATTAATTTATTGTGAATATTATAAAATTTGATATGAAGCACTTATACAAAATTTTTTTAATAAAATATTAATATAACAGTTACCCGACTATAATTTCTTTCATGTGCATTATTGAATATGCATAAGATTTGCAGATTAGAGGTGTATCTTCTCGACACATTTTTTCAGCTAGTTCAGCCGTAAATAGTTCACAACCATTTCCATTGGTTTGACAAGACATCTTATCTATTTGTAAAGACCATGAGAAGCTTTTCCTTTTTTATCAATTTCCCAATCAATAAGGAAATCTTTAAACACCATGGGATAAGTGCTCTCATATGACTTAAGACTATCATCAGATGTATAGTCTTTTCAAGTACACTTACTACTGTCAATATCCAATAACTTCCATATACATTCAACGAAACAAAAAGTAATTATAATATATGGATATCTTTTTCTATTCATCTTCTTACAGCTGTATAATCTCTTTGAAGATATATTCATATCATAAAATTAGTAACAACTGCAAGAACTTCCTCTTTTGACTTTGTGTGTACAATTAATGTTTCAGTACGTCGGGGGAACATTTTTTTAGTGTTTCATACGTAACATCACTTTGAAACATCAATAAGCTGTTATATGGTTGTTTTTTTAAGTTAATACAAATTAAGTACAAAGGAAATGTCCATGTGATATAATTTTGACTTAGTACAAATTTGGTACGAATGTAACATACATACTACGTTCCTCCGAAATATTACACTATGTATTAATAGCAATCGTTTATCATAATTATGATAAACGATTGCTTGGAAATTTAATTTTAGAAATATATATTAAAAAACAAAATATTTTGTCATACGACACTGTAATTGCCTATCAATACCTGGAAAATCCAAAAACCCATGTGACGTATGTCTTTATCTTTTATTTTAAGGGATCGGCCACAAACGACCAACAACTCTGCAGTAGACGCGATGTTATGTTATGTACAATCTTATAATTGTTTATGTTAGACAGTATACTTGTTTAATTATTATTAAGTGTTTTTAATTATTATTAAGTGTGTTTAATTATAATTATTATTTTTTCTTATATTTTTTAATAATGGCTGAACAAACAAAAAAGGTAAGTTATACAATCTACTTATTTACACTTGTTATAATACCGCATCCACACTTAATAACATTGTTATATAAGTACATTCAGTGGTGTAAAATTTCAAGGATTGCAATTTATTAATCAATTTAGAAAGTGGTCAGTGTTTTTTAAATAACTCTTACAAATACCAACTTTAAATTTTATGATGTGACATAAATGAAGTCTTAAAAATTTATTTAATACAATTTATAAACGTATTTAAAGAAACATTTAATGGTTTTTTAAATTTATTTTGTCAATAATATTAACAATTGGTGTCTGATCTACACTTAAGATATTATAAAATATTTATATAGGGNATTAACGAATTATAAAATATTTATATAGGTTTCCCTTAAATGGCTTATTGTGCTGTTCCCTGAGCACAATGAATATAGTGTTGTACCAACGAATTGGGTCACAAAAAATGAATTAACTCAAGTAAATTATTGCTACTGGCCTCCAGGCACTGTTAACAGTGATGTTATACAAAAAGCAGATGAGCCGGGGTTAACCTGGAAAATGTATAGAGTAAAAATTTATGGTGGAAATAAAACTTTTGGTAAGAATTAATACATATTTATATAATGTCTAGTGATTATTTTTAGCTCATCTATATACCAACTATTTTTTTTTAAATATAACTAATATATAACTATTTTACAGATAATTTTAATAAAGCATGGCATCAACAAGTTATTATTAAAGATTCATCTAATGAAACAGGTAATGAAGAAAATATGACTCTAAGACATAAACAAAAAGGAAAGCTTATCTCACAAAATGTATTGTTTAACGTAACTGATGAAAGTGACAATGACAATGGTAATTTTTTAAATTAACATATTTTTAACAATACTGTCAAACCAAAAATATAATGTGTATTGTATTTTTTAAGTACATATTTTATGAATAATTTTATAATATTG